AATTTTCATAGCAACTCAATTTACAAGTTCTGCAAACCTAAATACACAAAAATGTAGATAGTAATTTTTATAATAATAATAACAATAATAGTAAAAATAAAAATAATTCAATAAAAATAAGTCAAAATAATTCCATCATTTAGATGAGTTACTGCCATTATTTTTCTTCCTGTTCAAGCAGTGTTTAGAAGAAATATTTTTTCATATTTAGGAATGACAATTTACCTTGATTAATCACGATTAATCATGATTGTGATTCATCATTACAAATCCACAGCCACCCTGTGATCGAGCTGTTTAAAAACGCTAATACATTGACAGCCCTAATATTTCATTTTAATAGTTAATGAACGTGATTTAGTTTACCACCGCGGCTCCGTCTAATAATTTTGTCATCTTTTGTAAACAGCTTTGATAAATGACACTGTGGAGAAGACGGATTTGGGATGAAACACCATTTAGAAAGATGTGGAAAAAAACCCCCAAAAACACCATTTAGAAAGATGTGGAAAAAACCCCCCAAAAAAAACAACTTACGACAGTCAGCTTCATCAGACTTGTCCTTGCAGTCCGGATCTCCGTCACACTTCCAGGTCAGTCGCACACATTCCCCGTTGTCACAGCGGAACTCTCCGGCAGTGCAGTTTGCTCGTCGGTTCAGGAGGTAAGTGAGCCCGTCGCCTCCGCACCGCTCCGGGCCCTCGTCGGAACCGTCCGAGCAATCAGGGTCTCCGTCACAGCTCCACATGAGGGGGACGCACTCTGAGCTGTTGCAGCGGAGGTGATTGGGACCACAGGTGAGTGGGGAGCCACACTTGAGCTCGTCACTGCCGTCTCCGCAGTCATCGTCGCTGTCGCACAGGTAGACGGTGGCCAAGCACTTGCGGTTGGCGCACATAAATTCACCGCTGGGGCAGACTTTGGCATCTAGGAGACAAAAGGAAAATGAGAAGAGGGACAATGAGCGCAACAGTGTCGGGTGGAAAAATTGAGCTCGGTCGTGCACTCGTAACTCGATGGAAAATGTTGCAAACGTTGCTTACTTGTAACTTGGAAAACCCGTATTTGAGGTAGCTCGAAGCCCCCGCTGTACTTTGAATTAAAATGTTAAATATTCTACTTTTCCTGATGAGTTTCATGTACTGCATAAATAGAAGATAAATAAAAACTAATGACACTTGGAGGACATTAAGGTACATCTTTTTCAGATACAAAGTACAAAGTGTTTTGGACAGAAAATCTCATCGGACTTCCAAGCCTGGTAGCAGCCCTCAGAGGAAAATTCAGTTTACATCACAAAACATTTCTGAAGATGGACTCCATCCATCCATCCATCCATCCATCCATCCATCCATCCATCTACATTCTTTATTCAGAAAGGTTTTACCAATATCGAAACGATACCGATCCGGAGTATCGGATCGAGCCATCCCCCTTGTCTAACAAAGTTTGAGATCAAACTGTCACAAAAAAAAGAAGAAAACTTCAAAAGAAAAGTCAAAAGTACTAAATTCTTCAGTCAGTGTGGATAACGGCGGTGTGTACGTACAAGAACAAATGTCAATTTTAATTTTTGCACTCTCCTCCGAAGCGTTCACGCAGCCATCGATTTGACTTTTTCCCCCAATAGAGAACCATTCGGGCTTGTCGACTTTTACACGTATCTCATTTTACAGCTCACGGGTCAGCAGTACACACACATAAATCGGACGCCAAAACACACACACACACACACACACATTGCCGTGTTCGACAGGTGCACTCTCTGAGGAACCGAGATCGATGGCTGACATTTCTTTCACACACATTTTGCAGAGCAAACACAGCCGAAGCAGCGCTGCTGGTGTCGACGGCAACGAAAATCATTACTGACATCACTCTGGCATTACTGACTCGGAATTTACACTAAAAAGGAATTTGGACGAAAAAGGGTCAGAGGTCAATTGCGGGTAATTAGATCTTTTAACAGGACTAAGTACCCACCACTTAAAAACAGAGCTGTTGACACAAGTAAATTGCTACTACGTGAAAGCTCGGCATCACTGAGGATTTGCAGCACCTGCTGCTTTAATTTCGTAGTATCAGGTATAATTACTTACGCTCATCCAAACAAGACTTAACAGGAATAAATAAAGCAACACTCTACACGTCTACTGTTTACCTGAAATACACTGCAGTATTCAGCGTTGATGAACACTGAAATCGACCGCCGATTCATTCATCTTAACGGCGCCGACGAACCAACCTTCGCTCGACCGACGAGCCAATACCCCTGATGGGATTTGGGTCCCCGGCGCTCTTTGTGTGCTAACCACTGAGCAGCTTAAGAGGACCACATCAGTGCAGACAGTGGGATGAATGAGGGATTAGCACTTGGCTAGACCGACTACACGGACAGCATAAGCAAAAGCATTACAAGCTTAGGAGGGCATTAAAAACTGAAGTCAATCGAATCAATAGCACTTGTTTGTTATAGTACGCGCCTGTGGGGCCACTTTGAGACAGCAAGTCTGGGACGGAGTTTAACGCCCAACGATTCTACTGTACAATCAAATCATTAAGTCTGGTCAACCTAGAAGGAGATATAACATTTGAAGTAGAGCTAAACTGCGAAATGAAGAGAGAACAGCTACCCAGGAACAATAACCTAATTTATTTAAAGTGTTTTCCCTTACTGAGCATAAACAGCCACGTCTTTAAAGTCTTAACACCACGAACCGCCGGCTCTTCTGCTTCAATCAATACTTGGCGATGTGAAAAAAACGGGAGACGAAAAAAAAAATGAAATAAAAACAAGGGGAGAAATAGAGGAGTCAATTCTTCACGGTGCTTCAGATGTAGGGCAAGAACAGGTGGGAGGAGCGGAAGGAACGCACACACAGTTACATTCTCTGACGGCTGAATGGCGTGATGTTAATGTGGAATGTATTTTTTTTTTAAATAATAAAATACAACCCAGAAATACTTTTGTTAATGTGGAATGTATTTTTTTTTTAATAATAAAATACAGCCCAGAAATATTTTTTGCCATTATATACCAAAAAAATAAATAAAAAAAATTTGGGGCTTAATCTGGAAGATACTGAGGTTGAGATTTGGTTTCTTTATCCTTACAATCGTGTAATCAAAGTACTATTTTTCCTCATATAACAATACACAATTTCAAAGCACAAACCGGTGACACTCGAAAGGTATCGGACGCCGTGTGACTGATGGAACTGATGTTAATCCTCTTAGCTAAACAAAAGTAATCCAGCAGCTGCTGGTGATCCTCTATCGATCCATTACTGAGGGTTTCGTGACATTCTTGATACCAAGCGTAGTAGACTGGGTTCTCAGTGTGCCGCAGTGTCAGGAGAGTTCCAGCGAGGATCGCGAAAGAAGCTGAAAAGGTCACCTTCAGCCTAACCAGCTAACATCTCCAGCTACCGCTGCCCTAAAGAAGACTCTAGAGATCTGAAGATCCACTAATGTTTGTGTAGTTGTTGTACACGATATAAAAAAAAATTAGTTGATTTGTTTTTTTTGTGTGTTGTTTTTACTCTACACGGTGCCAGATCATATGGGCTGCCGTCTGTCAAAGCTAGCGTTTGTGTCGCTCCAAACGTCGCCACTCTGCCAAAGAGAGGATGGTTTATCTCCAGCTTCTGGCCTGAGGTTTTGAAGCTGTTCCTAACCTCGTTATTTTTCGGGACTCTCTGGTCCTAAATGTGACAGTGTCCTTGTTGTTGGTATTTTTAATGTTCATGTATGCTGTTTTGATAAGCTACCGTCAAAGGACAGTTTTAAACCTTTGCGCGAAGTCTGCGTCTGGACTGAAAGACAAACTGTCTGATCTTGTTTTATCGTGTTTTTTTTTTTACGATCTGCTATCTGTTTCTACTCCAAAAATCGGTGACAGTGTTGTCTGTTCATATGCTTTTATTATTTTGGGATCGTTGGGAACGCAGTTCAATCTGCCGTTGCTACTTGGCACTGTAGCATCATTAGCTCTTCTACAACTGCAATTTCCCGAGTCTATGTGCAATACGGAGGAGATCAGCTCATCATTTCACTCCACCTGCCAAACGGCGTTAGACACTGCGGCTCTATTAAAAACCAGGCAGCCTTAAACTACATCTGAACCCTGGCTAAATGACAAGACTGGTGCTGTCAGTAGTGTGTGTCCCGGAGCTGATAAAATTCAAAAAGATGGACTAAAATCTTAAGGTGTGTCAGGAAGGTTGTTGAATTTCTTTTAAAAAAAAATTTAATTTGCTTTTTATGCTAAATTGGTTTTGGCTTGCCCTGCCTCTCTAAACGTCTACACCAGGGGTGTCAAACATACGGCTAATAAATATCGAATGTACTTGTTTAACTGAAAACAATGGGGACAAAACATGGACTTATTGTTTTTTTATAATTAATTATGTTATGATTGTACAGTTGTACACGCTAACCCAAATTAATTTGACAGCCCTGATTTATACCCTTATACTGCCACCATCAGTTGCTCCTACAACGCCGCAGAAACGAGGGGAGTGCTTTTGCTCTCGCAACTCTTTTTGTGATTGGATTTGATTGATTGCGCGTCGTCTTCCCCTTTTTCTGTTTAACACAGTGACAATCAAAGCTTTAAATTCAAATACAATCGTTGTCCATTTCACTGAGATATATAGAGCCCTGCTTTTCCCGTCCCGTGCCTGTCGGATAAATCAATGGGAATAAATCACAAAACAAACCCACCAGCAGCGCAGTCCTCCTCATCTGCCCCGTTCTCACAGTCCTTCTCTCCATCGCATCTCCACGAGAGCGAGACACACTTGTTGGTGGCTCCCCCGCAGTCAAATTTCTCCGGGGGGCACGTTTGCTTGCCTGTGGCAGAGAGAAAAATAAATAGATGAGAGCTGAGATCGGTACAGACAGTTTATGGTCCCAATGACGGAAGCTACAACCTGACCTATAACTACTTGGTTTGATTTGGGAGTTAAACCCCTCAATCCCAACCTCTCCCGGTCCAGACAATTTATTACCGTCCAGTCGGCTCTACGGGGGTTGTGGGAGAAAGATAATAAAACACAGTAAATGCGCGGCTGGCAGCAGAAAGCGAGTCAACGTTGTTGTTTGCTCGCTAACTCTGCTCGCTAACAACATCTTTTCCTAAAACTGCTGGGCACAGAATGGGTTTTGACACAAATCAAATCAGTCAAATCATTTGAAATCATTGAGTTTGAAGTCATTGAAATCAGCTGTCGTTTGCATTGATTTCTGACTAAAAGGTCGTTTGTGAAGGCTTTGTTGTAATCAAGCTAAAACCAAAGCACAAAACCGAGGTTTTCTGGGCCTGTGAGAAACCTTTGTGAATATTGAAGTCATTGAAATCAGCTGTCGTTTGCATTGATTTCTGACTAAAAGGTCGTTTGTGAAGGCTTTGTTGTAATCAAGCTAAAACCAGAGCACTAAACCTTTTCCGAGGTTTTCTGAGCCTGTGAGAAACCTTTGTGAACATCAATGGCTATGTTTGAGCCCTGGATAATCAAAACTTGGAAGCGTCTAAATAAGAAGCCAAAAGATCCCTCCTCAGGTTTGTTATTTTTCTGCCTTGTTGGCTTAAAAGACGTGAAATGGAGGCGTTAGCCTTGAGCATTGATGTGCGGACTGAAAATAAAAGGCTCTCCGTCTGCAGCGGAAGATGTGCCGTGACTACATAGAAGTTTATTTCCACCTCCGTGAGACAGAACACACCCTAGAGTCAAACAACTGCTCTTTATTAAAGACGGAGTGACGGTGTAAATACATGCAACAGCCTGTAGGGGTCAGCGTAAAGACAGTGCTCTCTTTTTCAACCTTGTTTTCTTGGAGCAGATGCTTAAGTACAAAGAACGTATGTGTGTATTTTCTTTTTTGTATGTGTGGTCTATTTTTTTTTTAAATAACAAAAAAGTCAATTAGACCACCATGATTTCCCAGTTAACAAGCTAATGTTAGCTAACACTGACGGCTAGTCTCCAACTACTGTTTGTGAGCCACAGACTGTCGAGAAAAGGTTACGCAAAATACAATCTAGTTTAAAACAACAAAGCAAAATCAAGTTTGAAAACCAGCTTGGTTTATTAAATAAATCCAATAAGGGAACAAAACGAGAGGCTAAGATGAGTCATCACTGCAACGTGGAAAAAAAAAAGAAGAAATCCAATAAAGCTTTTCTTTCAATAGTGTGAGATGAAAGACTTGTGTAGGTGGAATCTACACAAGTCTGAGAAAGCATTCATAACAAACAAATGTGCTCTAGTAGAAAAAGAGGAAATGGCACATAAGAAATCCGTGAGAAGAAAACGAGAGGAAGGGTTTATGACTTAATCTGACTTTAAACTGCAAGATCTGAGATCCAACAGAAGGAAGAAGAACTTAACTGTACTTTTGACCTTTTAGATTCTTAGACTGACTCAGAACTGAAGCCTTGTGTGAAGTGGAGTGAAGGGACGGCAAGAAAAGTGAAGAGAAAATCACAGTCTATCTTCTCCGAGTCATTAAAGGGCAGCTGTAATCTGGAAAAATCTGGACATGAACTTTGATTTAAAAATTGCACAAAATTGACTTTAGGGTCATGACCTTAGAAAAGGATAAAAAAGTACTGTTAGGTTACCATACGCTCATTGACTTTTCACATCAATTTACAGCAGTGCGAAAATGGGCTGCACTCAGCAATGTTTTCAACTAAGAGTCAAGTCACTCAACATTCACTTATAGGGGGAAAAAAAAACAAAACAACAACAACACAATTGTCACTGCAATGAGAGCCCGCAGCCCAAACCAGCCGCAGTGGCCCATTTCCTCCCCGATTAATTAATAATCAGATTTAAAAACGGCGGGCTCTGCCTTCCTTCCTTATTTCCCTCCAAAGAGTCATTCATTTTTAAGTGCTAACCAGCGACTGAGTTTGGCCTGAAATCTGAATTCTTAACAGAATGGTGTTACGCTGCCACTACTCCAGCGTGTAATTGAGAATTCACTCAGTGAGCCAGAATGATTACGGCACAGATGTCAGCGTTAGAGTGTGTGTACATGTGAAAACTTGAAGTGAAAAGAAGGCAGAGTAAAGCATATGTGGTGAATTCAGAGGCAGATGAAGTCATACAAGATGGGGGTGGAGGGGGCGGGGGTGTTCCACATGTGAGAGACAGCAGGGCTGTACCATAAGTGGAGCGTGATGCACTTTAGGTAATTAACCCATGGGAAAAACAGTCAGTGCTGCCATCGCTCGTGAGTTCAGTATCTTCGTTGAAGAGCAGATGAAATTTGTCCAAAGCATTTGCTGCGACTTCACACTGCAAAATCAAAACTGCTTTAGAAAAGATCGTTGCTGTGAAATTTAGAAGCGTTGCCTGCATTAGACCAGGGGTGACAAACATACGGCCCGTGGCCCAAAACCCTAACCCTAACCCACTAGGGTGTGCAATCTGGCCCGCTTGATGAATTTTAAAAAATAAAAAATTATACAAACAAAACGATTTTTGTTAAATTATATTTTACTAAATAATAATAATAAGAGGAAGAAGAAGAAAAATAATAACAATAATAATAATAAATAAACTAGCCACTAGGGTGCACAAGCCAGTGTTTGGTGAGGGTGATAAATGGTGAGGGTTGCGTCAAGAAGGGCGTCCGGTGTAAAACCTTTGGCCAAATCAAGTAAGTGTTTCACATAAATAATAATAATAATGAATATCTAATATAGTTGTACTTATTTGCATGAAAACAAAGAGGAAACCATGGACTTATTGTTATTTATAGTTATTTATGTTATGATTGTACTGGTCCGGCCCACTTGACATCCAATTAGGTTGCAGATTGTCTTTGCACTTAATCAGTTAATTTAACAATAAAATAGCAGCTTCTTCATTTAGCTTAAGCGTAGCGTTCATCGTGCACATCGGGGGGCGTACTCTGAGATAATTATTTGTGAGTGAGTGCTGAGTTTAAAAATATGAAATACCCCCCACATATCTGCTAAACTGCATCATTATAGGTCGAACGCAACACAAAACAGCGCATTTAACCACCAAGTCGCATTGCAGCCCCGACCATATTTATAGTTCGCAACACAACAGTGTGTCGCTACGTGCGGGATTTCCATATAAATGGATCTATAAACGGGTTCCAGCGTTTCCTTCTTTCTCAGCCCAGATTACGTTCGCTTTGTTCCGCGGCCAATAAATGAATCCCCTCCCCTCCGTCAACTTTAATAGGATTTTCTGTGTGAACTTGTGATCCTCTTTAGCTTTAGTCTCTCTAACTTTAAACGTTCTTACGGCGCAGACACACAAGGAGTTTGCATGACCAGATTATTATAATTAGAATTAGAACCTATAACCAATTGGGAACACAGTACTTCATATGATGCCTGAAACATACAGTGTACCCTCTCTATATCGCGTTCACCTTTCAGTACATCGCTTTTTTTTTTTTTTAATCCCATCTCGTGAAATTTTCACCATACCGCGAAATGCAGCATAAATTAAACTAAAAGACTTTATAAAATAATTACACATGTCGTGAAATTTTCACCATATCGCGAAATACAGCGTAAATTCAACTAAAAGACTTTATAAAACGATTACACATGCGAAAATTTTGACTTTAAAAATGTGGATCCTCGTGTTGAAATCGAGAACACGACACGTTTTATTCCCAATGCGCCACATATTTTCAATGGCAAAGATCTGGACCGCAGGCAGGACAATTTAATCTTTATCCCACGTGTGTCAAACTCAAGGTTCGTGTCCCAAATGCAGTCCACCAAGGTCTTTTGTGTGGGCCGGCGGGAGCTTAAAAAGTGCCTTAAAATAAAATCCATGCTTTAATTATGAGATAAACAGTACCGTGATAGAACACATTCTCAGGCTAAACTGATGTTCCATTGACTAGAAGCTGAACATTTGTTGCTGACAACTCAACTTCGCTCAGCTTCTGCTACGGGCATGACATTTTATTCCAGCGAGATAATGTGCATTTGAAGTGCTTTCGCCTTTCTACATGAACAGCATAATCCGAGGAAAGTCCAAGTTTAATGAATTTAATTCTTAACACTTTAAGGCACCGTAAAGAAGACCCGCTAATCGCCGAGCTGTGTGCCACATATACGTAACCTCAAGAGCTTCAGATGGAAGCAGCCAGCAGAGGAGGAGATAAGAATTTCTTGAAGAAGAAAAAAAAAATACATTTAACAACTTGCCCAGTCTCCCACTCTTGAGACATCAACTTACCTCGTTTCCATCAGGCCGTGTGGGTGTGTGTGGGTGCACTCGACTGGCATTTTTCTAAGAGGTTTTCAATCAAAGAGCCCGGCTCTAACAGCTTGGCAGGGCAAGTAATTGAGGCATATTTTTTTTCTTTTCTTACATCCACCGTCAGACAGCATTGAGTATTGAAATGTGTGGGTGAGTGCAGACCGTTGAAGTGAGCGAAATGCCGCCAGATCTGAGATAACCAGCAGAATTAGCAACCTGCGCGCAGGAGCGACGGCATTAAATATTGTGTGAATTGACAGACGAACTGGCACAAATGCAACGCCGCATTAGTGTCGATGTGGTAACCGAATATTCTTTAGTCTTAATTTCCTCAAGATTCTGAGCGCCGTTTAAATATACTCAAACTATGCTAAGCTATGCTTTAGTTTGAGTATACTGTATATATACATATATATACATAAATATATGCACATATATACATATATATGTATATATATATAATAATAATAACAACAACAATAATAATAATTTTGACCCAACATTTTGGAAAAGATTGTGTTAACAGCAGATATGCTGCAACAGGTAGTACGTGGGAATCGAACCCCCGCCGTCCAATTTAATCCTAACAAAATAGTAAATGTAAAAACAGGAGGGCAGCAGAACGGTTTTCACTTACTGCAGGTCTCCTCTGCCTCATCAGAACCATCTGGACACTCCGGTTCACCGTCGCAACGCCATCGCCCCGGGACACACTGTCCGTTCAGGCAGGCAAACTCCGCAGGGGCGCACGTTTTCCTCGCTGTTCAAAGAAAAACAAGAGAGCGGAGAAAAGGTCAGTGAGAGAAAAGGATAGTTAGTGGCATGTGGTTCCACTTGGCTCCAGGCGCTTGTCATGAATTTAGTCCTTAATTCACCGTAAGTAGTCGCTCCTCTCGTCGGAAGAGATCATCATCATTATCTCGCTCACGTTACTACCGCACCGTCTTCTCTTTTCTTTCTCTTTTCAGAACTTTTATCCTTCACTGGTTAATTTTTTCTTCTTCCTCATCTCAGCCCTGCTGCTGCTGTAGTACCACCGCAGTAACAGTGAGGACGAATCAGGGAGCTCAAACATCGCAACATCGCTAGTAGGGTTCAAGGTTCAAGGTTCTGTTCCCATTGTTGTTTCTATGCCATCTATTGAAGAAATGCGGGCATTGCAGCAGAAAGGCAGAAATATAATGAAAATAGGAATTAATAACATCATTTGGACAAGTTTGGTGGGCCGGAGTAAAAAGCCAAACGGGCCACATCCGGGCCCCGGGCCTTAGTTTGCCTGTTGTAGCCGTTACTTGGACACTCGGTGTTAAACCTTAAAAAATTAAAACTGCAGTGCATACACGTGGGACGCCTGTGTTTAACACAAATATATTTATGATTTTTTTTCTACTTACGCTGACGACATAACTCAATTTTTATCCATAAAAATGTGTGCATTCACGTTTGTTTTTTTTTTTGTTAGCTTCAGAAATCAGGGTTCGCCTTTTGTGATACTTTGAAAAGGGACCAAATAGAACCGAAATGAGTATACAGTCACAGCCAGACACACAAAAACTTGCCTGAAATGTTATTTTGGCACAGTCACAGCCAGACACACAAAAACTTAACAGCTTAAAAATGCTTCAAACATTGACATACATCTGTGTACATGATTCCATGCGTACATCTGTAAACGTAAAAACAACACTTCAACCCAAAGATAAAAAAACAAAACAAAACAACAACATTCTTTTTTTTTTCCCGGCAACACATAATAGACTGACCCAAATTCACTCCTCAGACTAACAGCCCCTCGACTCCTTTGTTCCCTTTCACATACAGCAGGCCTCTTTGTGTTCTTTGTCTAGGACTGACACTGAACAAAGCATCGCGATTGCTATTTTTCTAGCAGCGCGAGTGCCACTTGTTTGTTCATTAGACAGATGGGATGTGCACCATTAGGACCCCACCTGAGGTTCACGACCCACTCTTTGGGAAACAATGATCTAGACCACTTGCAAAAAAAAAAAAAAAAAAAAAACAAGTCCTCAAACCTTTGCAGATAAATGCACTACACTTGTTTATGTTTGGAACATTTCTGCTTCTCTTATCTTATACCAACAGATAACCTAGAATAAATCATAAAAAAAATGGACTTCCTCGTCCTGGTTAACAACAACACCTGGATGGAGTAACTTAAAACCAAAGAGAAGCAATGTCAAACAAGCAGCAAAATGTCATCTTTCAACAAAAAACACCCCATGACAATATATATATATTATTGTACCAACCGTGCTGCTATACTAGCTGATAAACATTCCGCTAAAGGCCTTTACTTTGTTCACTGGACAAACACCTTATAAATCTAACAGCAAAAGCGGCCTCTGAAAGTTAGACAATCTGTATTTTTTTTTTTTCCTTCTGTCTTCCGGCTTCTCACTTATTTGAGGAAACATGCACTTTTACAGGAGGTCTACGGTGCCACGCTTCACTTGGCAATGTTCACCCAGGCATGACAGCGCCATCTGCACAGAATTACTATCGGTTTTAATTAAGGAGGTTTTTTTTTTTTCTTTTTTAGATGTTAGGAGTCAGGAGGATGGACGAAAAGTTAGAGAAGAAGAAGAAGAAGAATCAGAAGTGATTAACGACAGCTGAAGACGCAGAAAAGGACAGGCATGGTAATAAACTGATTTATGGAGAGTGTATGAATAAAAAAAAACCCTGAAATATTACTGCAGGTTCATTTCAACCTGGACGTGAATTTCAAATATGCTGAACAGATGTAACCCTCAGTGTAGCACGACAAGTAGATCTCTGGTGACTTTTACACACACACGGCTGAAACAAACCAAAGGAAAAAAAGTAATCGTGTGTGTGTGTGTGTGTGCCATCAATATTGTGAGCGGTGAAAATGAAATGTGACACGAACACAATGAGGGCTCTGCTTAGGGGAGCTCAGCCAGCCATGATATGTCTCCTGGAGGAGCTCCAACTACTCAACCTGGATCGTTCTCCTCTTGTTCTGCTCCGTGTTGTCGAAATTCGACTGCAATTACTCAACGTTTTTCCTCAACTTTTCATTTTTGCATCTCAGTCTCGCTGTACATGAACGATCTGATTTCACTTTCAATGTTCTGATCGAACTGCTCTCTTGAAAACCAGGCATGGCTGGATACTATTTCATGTCTGATACCGATACTGAACCCGCAACTTGGAGTATCTGCCGATACTAATATCAATTAATATCAAGCGCCGATTGTTGGCAAAACAAAACATATCAATATCAAGCGCCGATTGTTGGAGGATGGTAACATTTTCAAAACTCAATATCAAGCGCCGATTGTTGGAGGACGGGAAAGATTTTCAAAAACAAAACATCTGTTAGACGTTATTCTGTTAGCATCGGAGTCTGGATGACATATTATTTTGAAATATCACTGGATTCTTTTTGAATGAAGTAAATTAGTAAAAATAAAGTACATTTTTCATAGTGTCCCACTGCGGATTGCGACCCTTGTTGCACAGGACTTGTAATGATATTCTGAGCATGTCAGGGGGGGCAACAACACAACAACCTCATTATATTTAGCTCCCAAATTCCACACGATGTTTGAAACTTTCATTCAAAGTTGTCAGGTGTGTGTCACAGAAATGAACCAACGATTTTCCACTGACTTTTATGCAACATGAAAGATCAAAAACACTTCTTCCCGCACCGGGGGAGAAGCTTAATGAGTAAGGCAGCAATAAGCAGGTGTTACTCATCGACACATGACAAATGGCCTAATTAGCTCATATTAGTAGGTGGAGTGTTGTCGAAGCAGGAGACCTAATGGATCCTGTTGGCATAAGCCGGCATGCGAACGACAAAACCATCGGAAATGAACGGCACGCAACGTAAACCGGGGCACGTGCCAGACTTCAAACGAGTTGTTTTTGAAGCCGTTTCAGCAAATGATTATGAAACTTAATTAGCCTTTTTTTTTTGAACGTTCTGGGTTCACTGACAGGCAGACTTTCAACTTTGAACGTTTCCTTTTATTATATTTGGAATAGGGATATTGAACGCAGAGGCAGACAACTTCATTAACTACGGAACGCGGTTATCCATCAATACAGTAAATTTGCTGGAATCGTCGCCTGTCAGTGGAGCCTCTGTGGAGAGACACGTGGGATGGAGTTTTAATTCAGCACTGGTTGGAGTATTGATCTGAAAAGCCTTGCCGAGAGAGGCATGTCTGAATTAAATATTGTTCTGTCTAGACAAATTGAGCAAATTAAGACGTTGTTTTAAACCACGAGTTCCCAACCTGAGGTCCGGGGATCGGTCCAGGTCCATAGGTCTTTTGGTAATGTACTTCAATTTCACTAATTTACTTCACTCAAAAAGATGAGTCATTTCATTTAATGAGCCTTCAACGATGGCGCAGTAAAGGCTTATACCGGCCGACCGATCCTTGGTACAAAAAAAAAGTTTGGGGGCCTCTGGTTTAAACCACAAGGTGTCCGACATAACTTAAACTGTCTGTGAAACTTGAATCATTTCTCTTGTGTTTTTAATGTTATCTTATACATGAATTCTCGTGTAAACTACGTGTATTAAGGTCAAAAAGGGTTTTTGCGTCAGGATCAGCATCAGGTGCCGCTGTTTCCTCCCAACAGTTTCCCTCTGACCTTGGCTGCTCATCAGGGACAAACACTGAGCTAATTATAGCCCCTCGTGTGGCTTGAAGATGTATTTTTCTCTCCTCCTGTCATGTCATATTAAGGGCAGGTCCTGGCAGTCGTCAGATAGTCATCCCTCAGGTACAGTGGTGAGTCAGACCGAGAGTGATTTATTCTGAAGACCATCTAAACCCCCCAAGAGATTCACTGTGATATCTGACCTATGACGGTGCAATCAACAATTCATTTGAACAAAGTTGAAGCTTTTCTGTTATCGGAAAACGAGCCGAGTGTCAGAATGGAGAGCCAGCATTACACTTTGAGAGCAGCAGCAAGTAAACAGGCCTTTATCATTTTCATTTTTCCTCCTGTCGTGGCATGTTATACTCGAACGGAATGCATCGTCTGCAGCTCCGTGACAACTGTTGTGAGCATCTGCATTTTAGTGACAAACATTTCCTCAACTTTTGCAACGTTAGTTTTTTTAGGGGTGGGGGTTTAACAACAAATAGTCCGAAACACACGTCGTTTTCTTGACATACTGTATGTAAAAACAATATGATGTGCAATTCTGTAAAAATGTGTTCTGTTTCCTAAATAATTTAAAAGTCAGAAACCTTCGCGACCCAAGTCAATAGACATTATTCGTAAAACCCACCTGAGGGTCGCGACCCAGTCTTTGGGACACCATGCTGCCCAAATAGGTCTTAACTGGGTTTTAACCCTCCCGTTGTCCTTCACATTTTGCAGCCTCGCAACGGGTTAGCATCTTGTCCCAGAATCAGGGAATGAGAAAAAGTATAAGCCAAAAGTGTTCAACGAGCTACGACATCTAAACATTTGAGGGAATTGAAGCGGGCCGGGCGGGTACCTCGTCTCGAAGCTTCCTCCCTTTGCGGAGTTAACTAAGTAGGTTAACGACACATCACTGAATATAGCCTCTAATAGAGTCTGTCCCTCGTGACTTCAGCAGCTAATCAACCCTTCTCTTCCTGTGTCTGGTAAAGCCTGTACATACATTTCAATAAATGCCCATCCAGACGGAGTATGAGGGTGCAGAGGTAACAGAATCAAACATGTCCAAAAATCCTGAGAAAATACAACAATCGGATA